AATGAGGAGATTATGGCTCTAAGGCAAAATGAAACATGGGACTTAGTACCCAAACCAAAAGAAGTTAAACCCATATCTTGTAAATGGGTTTATAAAATAAAAAGGCGGCCTGACGGATCAATTGAAAGATATAAAGCTCGGCTTGTTGCACGTGGATTTTCACAACAGTACGGGCTAGACTACGACGAGACGTTTAGTCCAGTGGCAAAAATCACGACAGTTCGAGTACTTATTGCACTGGCAGCAAGCAAGTCTTGGAAATTATGGCAGATGGATGTGAAGAATGCATTTTTACATGGAGAGCTCGACAGAGAAATATACATGGTCCAACCTGCGGGGTTCGAGGATAAGGAGAATCCAGGCTACGTGTGCAAACTAAAGAAGGCTCTATACGGGTTAAAGCAAGCGCCACGAGCATGGTACGGTAAGATCGCTGAATTCTTAATTCAGTGTGGATACTTTGTTGCACCAGCAGACTCGAATCTCTTCGTGAAGAAACGAGAAAGAAAACTAGCAATAGTGCTAGTATATGTGGATGATATCATCATCACTGGAGATGATGAAGAAGAAATTCAACAAACCAGGAGGAATTTATTGGTGAGATTCCAAATGAAAGAGCTTGGTGAACTTAAGCACTTTTTGGGGCTCGAACTAAAAGAAAAAGGCAACGGTTTTTTATTGTGTCAGTCAAAATATGCTAAAGATCTATTGAAGAAATTTGGCATGATTGACTGCAAGCCTTTATCGACTCCAATCGAATCAAATGCCAAGATATGTGCTCAAGATGGAAAAGATTTGGAGGATGCAACTATGTACAGGCAGCTGGTCGGAAGCCTAATCTACCTAACCCTAACACGGCCAGACATTTCATATGCTGTGGGAATTGCAAGTCGATTCATGGAGAAACCAAAGAAGCCACACCTCGAGTTAGTCCGACGCATACTAAGGTATGTAAAAGGAACTATTGACTATGGACTTTTCTATCAAAGTAATAAAGATATAAAAATTGTTGGCTATTGCGACGCGGACTATGCCGGATGTGGTGATACAAGAAGGTCCACTACTGGATATGTGTTCAAGTTTGGGTCGGCTGCAATATCATGGTGTAGCAAAAGACAACCGACAGTGTCCTTATCAACAGCAGAGGCCGAGTACCGAGCAGCAGCAATGGCGGCTCAAGAAAGCACATGGCTTATGCAATTATTGAAAGATCTACATCAGCCATTTAACTATGTGGTACAACTATATTGCGATAATCAATCTGCTATACGCATAGCAGAGAATCCCATATACCACGCAAGAACAAAACATGTCGAAGTTCATTATCACTTCGTTAGAGAAAAAGTGCTCAAAGGGGAGATAGAGATGAAGTACGTTGGTACAGAAGACCAAGTAGCCGATGTATTCACCAAAGGGCTGAATCTTTCAAAATTCGAAGAGTTTCGAACACTTCTTGGGATGGTTCGAGAAGAAAACGTAATTCGAGAGAATGTCGGTGTTGAGGGGGAGTGTTAAAAATAAAAAAATTCCAACACCGGAATTCTCTAGAAATCATTATTAAGACACTCTTGATATTATTAAATGAACATTACAGAAATATCTAGGACATTTAATATTATTAAATGAGAATTGTAGAATTATCTAGGACATTTAAGTCGGTGACATAACCGACAATAGACTCTATAAATACGCTTGAGTGGTGAGTCTTGTGTGAGTGAATTCTACATTTTGGGTGCAAATAAAATAAAATGAGTGTGTGCTGAGTGTGATCAAAAGAAAAGAAAAGAAAAGTGTGAGTGTGAGTGCTTGTAATTAAATACTGTGAGTTGTGTGAGTGCTTACAAATAAATTGTGAGTTGTGAGAGTTACATATTTGTAATAAATTATTTGTATAATAAAATTAATTTGTTGTATTATTCTTGAGTATATTGGTCCATTTATTCCAACACCATACGTGGAGTTACTTGTCAAACAGTTTATCCTTAACCTCACCTGTAATGCTTGTAATGCTGCTCGTGGAGCTGAAGCAAAAAAAAAAAACAAATATGGAGTAGCTTTATTAGTAAACTGGAGGTGCGCCAACACGACTTAAACCAGCACAAGTTCATATATGTGAGCGTGCGAACCTCATCTCGAAAGGATATAATGCGAACCTCCCTAGACAAAACTTGTGGTTTATATATGTGCACGTATTGTTCGAATAAATAAAGGATATATGTGTGTGTGTGTGCACGTGCTCGAATTGGACAAACAACCGACAGCTGTCCGAGACTCCACTGGCAGCATTCGTTATTCAGTTAGCACCCCATCCCTTGTGAAATTTGTGTCACAGTAGGTAGTACTACGCCAGCTCTTGAGGAAAGACGAAAGAGTGCTTTAAATTTGCTCCACGAAAGTATTGTATTTTTATGATACTTGAGGTACTAGGCTGCAAAGCTACTCCCCATCAAGAATAAAACCATCATACTGTACGACTGGAGTGGCCGGCTCCTCCCTGCCATTGCAGTGGCAATGGCTCACCTCGCCGGCAGCGTTGCTGCCTTGCTTCTCGTCGTCTTCCACGTCTCCGCTACCTCTGGAAGCAGTGGCGGCGGCGTTCTTGGGCGAAAGGCGGGCAGCATCGCCACCGCCGACGAGCAGTCGCCGGCGGTGGAGGAGGCGGCCGGGAGGTACGCCGTCATCTTCGACGTCGGGAGCATGGGCAGCCGTGTGCACGTCTTCATGTTCGACAAGAACCTCGACCTTGTCCCGATCGGCGACGACATCAAGTTCTTCTCCAAGGTATGTAGCTGCTCGGTTACCATTATTACCACTATAGTGGTTGAGTATATATACTCTTCAGCTTCAAAAAGAAAACAGACTCAACGATTGAAGAATAATGCTTTGGAAGAAAACACGAATAGTGCATGACGACCGTATGTGGCATCCCAAAAACGAGCCAAGAACAACTCAGTAAAAGCTGTGGACCTTATATATGAGACTTTTCCGTATGTGTCATTATAAAAGATTACAATTCTTTACAACAAGCCATTA